GGAATGGAATATGCAAGAGATGTGGGACACCATGAAAAGATAAAATCTACGGATCATAGGAATAGAGGAAGGAGAAGAATTTCAGGTTAATGGTGTTGACCAGATCTTAAACAGGATTGTAGAAGAGAATTTCCAAAAATTTAGGAAAGACATCCCCATACAAATACAGGAAGCACATAGAACACGAAATAGTGTCAGAAAAGAAACTCTCCACAACATATCATAGAAAAACACTAAATGTACAGAACAAGGAGAGAATACTGAATGCAGCAAAAGAAAAGTCACATACACAGGAAAGCCCATCAGAATTACAGATTATTTATCAATGCAAACTATGAAAGCCATAAGAGCCTGGACCAAGGTATTTTCAGTTCTACATGACAATAGATGCAGGTCCAGAATACTATACACAGCAAAAATGTCTATTATAGTTGAGGGGGAAAGAAAATCTCCCATGACACGAATAGCTTGAAAGAATACATGTCCACAAAATCAACCCTTCAAAGAATACTTGAAGCAATACAGAGAGCAGAGAGAGAGAAACAACTATACCCTAGGGGCAACAAAAGAAAATAAACAAAGACATAATCTAGGAAACACAAAAGTACACAGAGAACAAAAACAGCAATCAAATGACAGCAACCAATACACACGTTTCAATGATAACCTTAAATATCAATGGACTGAACTCCCCAGTCAAAAGACAGAGGCTAAGGGAATGGATTAAGAAACAAAATCATCTCTTTGCTGTCTGCAAGAAACCAATCTCACCTTCAAGAACAGGAACTACCTTAAAGTAAAAGGATGGAAAGAATAGTCCAAGCAAATGGCATTAAGATATATGCAGAGGTTGCAATTCTAATATCTGACAAAATAGACGTCAAAGTAAAACTAATAAGAAAAGATAAAGAGGGTCACTTCATTCTGATCAAAGGAACAGTTAACCAAGAAGATATTACAATCGTTAACATATATGCACCAAATTTTGGTGCACCCAAATTCATAAAAATGACACTACAGGACTTTAAGACACAGATTAACCCCAACTCAGTAATAGTAGGGGACTTCAATACCCCACTGTCTCCATTAGAGAGGTCAACTGGAAAAGAATAAAGAGAGACTTCTGAATTAAATGATACCATACATCAAATGGACCTAACAGACATCTTTCGATTATTCCACCCAAACACCAAAGAATACACTTTCTTCTTAGCACCTCATGGAACTTTTTCAAAAATTGACCACATACTGGGCCACAAAACAAACCTCAACAAATACAAAAATACTGAAATAATTCCAGGCATTCTATCAGACCTACAAAGCAATAAGGCTCAAAATCAACACTGGACAAAGCTCTTGTCACTACAAAAACTCATGGTGACTGAACAACACACTCCTAAACAATGAGAGGGTCAAAGGAGAAATTAAGAAAGAAATAAAAGAATTCCTGTAATTCCATGAAAAGGACAATACAACTCAACAGAACCTCTGGGACACATTAAAAGCAGTCCTAAGAGGGAAGTTTATCGCTCTAAGTGCCTACATCAAAAAATCAGAAAGAACACAAATAAATGACTTAACACTGCAACTCAACACACTTGAAAAGCAACAGCAAACAA